GATGCATTATGTAAAGGTACAATTCCCAATGAGAAATGTAATTGTGTTGTATACCTACAATGTACCAATAAAAGAATTTAATAAAAAAAAAGTCAGCAGTTATTTGATATGCTCGATCAGCCCTTGCCAGGCATCCTCTGAGAGACCGACCTCTTGTGACTCCGTTTCCCCTGCCTTTTTCTAGGCTCCCAGTTCTACTCACCATTCAGTAGATTTCAGAGACAAAGCATCCACCAGATGGTTTTAGGATCGGCAGAGAATTATATGCTTCTCTATTTTTATACAAAGTCTTAAGTGAAACATGGACTTGAAGAATACTTGTGTCCTCCGTGAGACTAGAGTTGAAAATATATCATTTGAAGCTTTTTACAAGGAGCTCATCCATACTATTTCTGTTATTTTGAGTTGGATTTCAGAGGAAATCTGCAGCCGGCTAAGCGAAACGTGGTGTCTTTTCCTAGATTCAAGTCCATTTGTCCAAAAGGCATGACCAAAGTTCAGTGACTCATTTCCTAGGACAGTGCGCTTCCACTTGCCTCTAGAGGACTACTTCTCACACCATCTGATCTTTATGGAAATAATAACTACGTTCGGTATTTGGTGCGGTCCAACAGTTCAGAGAGAAGCCAAAGGTGTTCACCCGTGTACCTGTCCGTGGGCCGTGGCTGCTTTTCCGTTGCCATGATACCATTCTTGGTATCCTGGAGCTCATGTCCAAGTCCGCTCAGAGAAAGGATGAGTTTGAACGCCAGACTTAGGCTCCCAGTCCAGATGCTGCGTAGCCAGGCCCAACCGCGTTAGGAAGTAAACTGTAAGTGGATACGTATTGTCCTCCCCCTGGACAGGGTTTCCTGCGCTGGAAACGGGGCAGCGTTGTGCTCATATTCGGTTAAAAATCGCTCAGGGTTGCAGAAAATTAGGACCACGTCCCTGGGTGGGCTTGAACCACCAAGCTTTCGGTTAACAGCCGAACGCGCTTACCGATTGCACCACAGAGACCCAGCCCCTTAGGCTGCCGTGCGCTGCCTACACGTTTCCGCTGTGGCTCACACCACCCTGGGCGTCGCCAGCCCGGGGCGGAGGACCGTGGCGCACCGGCCGGAGCTGCGGGTTGGCCAACACCCGGGGTAGCAGAGCCGAGCGGCGGGAGGAGCTGCGGGTGCGCCGACCTCGCGAGTCCTCTGGGGACAAAGGGCCCTCCTCGGCGCAGCAGCCTCTCTGTGAACGTGGGCACAAGCAAGATCCTCCCTGCAGTGCCCGCGCTCTGTGCAGGAACTGATGGGGGACCGCGACCTGCCGTTGTCAGAAGCCTGGGGTTCTAGAAGCGCTTGCGACCGGGTATGAGGCCGCACAGACAAAACCCGACTTGTCCTTGGGGAGAAGAGGAACGAGTGCTCTGACATGGGCTTATAGGATAGTCCCGTCTGTTTAGGCCAAACCTGAGAGCAGTGCTCTTTTTCGGGGTTGTTTTTTGCTCCTTCTCCTTAGACTTTTCCCTTCTTGTAATCGCCCTCATAACAATTTAAGGAATGATACACTGCGGACCGGTGTGTGCGCTTTGTACATTTAAAAAGAAACAATTTCTGTCGCCTAAGAGGCAGTGTGTACCCTTTGGGGGCACAGGACCTCCCTTGAGAACGTGTGGCATAAGGGGCACAAAAAAGGGCCCAGTCTGACAGCCCCGAAGGTTCCCTGCCTTGCCATCTTCAGCGTTTAGCCCGCTGGAATCCAAGCTGCCTCGTCGGGAGGGAGGGGAGGTGTGGCTGTAGCGGTGCGCCTGCCCCTAGGAGAGAGACGGGGACTTCCGGGGTTTACTTCTCTTCTGGACTGACCAGTTGCGAGAGATCTTCTGAGAGCTGCTGTCCCTACAGAAGCGGAATTGATCTGGTCGTCTTGTAGTCAGCCCAGCCCTGTGCGTTCCAGGTTTCCATTCTAACTCACCTCCTCCTCTTGTACCTTCCTCCTCCTTCTCTATCCTTCTCTGGCTCCCTTTCTTCTTTATCTTTTCTCAACATTTTAACATTTTTAATATACACAGTTCAGGCTCATTAAGTACATTCACATTGCTGTGCAGTTACTGCCACTATCCATTTCCAGAACCTTTTCATGTTCTCAAACTGAAACTCCATCCCTGTTAAACAGTGTCTTTCTTGCACCTTATCTCTCTAACTTTGAACACTCTAAGAACCTCCCATAGGTGGAACCATACAATATTTGTCGGTTTGTGACTGGCTGTTTTCACAGCGTGAGGTCCTCACTGTTCATCCTTACTGCAGCACGAATCAGAATTTCTTTCCTTTTGAAGACCATTCCGTTGCGTGGATATACCACATTTTGCTTATACCTTTATCCCTTGATGACTACATGGGTTGCTTCACTTTTTGGCTATGGTGAATAATGCTGCTGTGGATGTGGATGTACAAGTACCTGTTTTCGTCTTTGCTTTCAGCTCTTTTGGGGACGTCCCCAGAAGTGAAATTACTGGATCATTTAATTTTCCACAATGGCAGCACTTTACATTCACAACAGCAGGTGCAAGGTTCCAATTTTTCCACATTTTAGAAAAATGGTAACTATCCTAGTGGGTGTAAAATGCTGTTACTGTAGGTTTTTTTCTATTTCCCAATATTAGTGATGTTGCATACCCTTTCTAGGCCCCTCCTTTGAAGCTGGGTTCTACGCTTTTCTTGTATTTGTTTCTTTCCAGTGAGAGCTGGCTCTGTGTGAGGAAGAAGCTTTGCTGAGGAGGCAGCCTCCGAGGGAAAGGGGAAGGAAAAGGCTTGAGGGCTTTTGGAGTTGGGCCTGAGCATGAGGAGGGGGAAGATGAGAATTCTTCTCATTAGGGCCATCTAGAAATCTTGTCACGAGGTGCTTGCTTATGTGTGTTACGTGTGTTGTTTACATGTTAGAGCCCAATGTCTTTGTCCTATTTATGTATTTATGTATGTGGTGTTTGTGCCACCCACTGAAGACAGAATCAATGCCCTCTACCTGAGAAATACTGGAACAAATCATGCTTTCCAAACTGTACTTTTAAAAGTTAACTTAAAATTATTCTGATTTAATGACATTTTGTATGCATTTTTAGTTTCATCTTAAGAACTGTGGGGACTTCTTATATAAATGTTTAAGTGATGATCTCTTTTTTAGTGATTTAAAAAAACATAGTGGGATATGCCAGTTAATAAGAAATATAATTTTATTTTTCTGTAATGCCACTAAATATCTATTTTGATTCTCTGCTTTTTTCTCCCAGTGCAAGAAGTTTCACATGCTAGGCAAGTGCCCTACTACTGAGCCACATCTTAGCTCATGATTCCCTGTTCTTTTGCTGCCAGAGACGAAATCACGTTAGTTCAAGATCTCCCCTGTGCCCTTTCTGGAGTCATTTCCAGGTGCTAAGGCTTTGGAGGGAGGGGACCCATCTGGCCCTTGAGCAACACATGCACACGGGTTGTTGGAGAGGAAATTTGGCTCCCTTCAAAGTTCCAGTGGCTCTGCTGTGCCTCAGTTGAGGGAGAGGAATCTCTTAGGAAATTGGCTTTGTTGCATCACATATTCCATAAAGCCATGTCTGGGGACAGTCCACCGTGTGTAAGGGACCCCAAGCTCCTATGATCTCATCAACCCCATCCATATCTCTATTTCTCTAGCTCCAGGCTATGGGCTGTAGAAACAGTTGTGAGATCTTAGAGGCACCTGTAAAGATAGGGAGAAGGAAAGCCAGGAAAAAACCACTTGAGTCCCATTAGAAAGTCTAAGGATATTCTTTAATCATACATGTTTGAAAATAGTACCTAGTTTTTTCTCTTAGCCCAAATTCTGGGGTGTCTTCCTCCATTTTCATACGGGTGGGATGGTTTTCTGTAAGATGGCATTAATAAGCCAACTCACATTTTTATAATTGTAGGTACTTATCAAACTATGGAACAGGCATTCCTGAATCCAGGTGGTTTTGTCCAGATGGAAGCACCCACTAAAATATAAGCTCTTTGAGGATGGAGAGTTTAGTCCACTTGTTTCCTGCTGCATCTTCAAATACATACAGCAATGCCAGGCACTTAGAAGATGCTCAAGAACTAGGTACTGAATTAGTGAGTAAATGGAAACCATAAGCCATAATGTAAACTGAAAAGATAAAATGTGACAGAAAAAATAAATTTCTAATACATAAGTAGCATTTATCAATTAATATGGGAAAAATCCTTCACAACTCAATTAAAAACAAGACAAAAATGGGCATGAGCAAAAAATTACCCAAAGATAAAAATACATGTAGTACAACCATTATAGAAAATGGTGTAGAGGTTCCTAAAAACATTAGAGCTAAGACTACTATTTGACCTAGCTATCCCACTACTGGGTGTATATATCCCAAAGAAATGAAGAGATACTTGCTGCCCGATCTTCATTGAAGTATTATTCATAATATCTAGGATATGGAATAAACCTATGTATCCACCAGCAGATGAATGGATAAAGAAAATGTGGCACAAATACACAAAGGAATATTATTTGACATTGAAAAAGGAAATCCTGTCATTTGCAACAACATAGGTGAATCCAGAGGATATTTTATTAAGTGACATAAGTCAGGCACAGAAATACAAATACTGCATGATCTCACTCATGTGTTGAATCTAAAATGTTAAACTCACAGGAATAAAATAAAATGGTATTGCTAGGGGTTGGGGTGGAAGTAGGATGAAGGGAGGAGATGTTGGTACAAAAGTTGCAAAGCTTCAGTTAGACAGGAGGAATAAGTTCTGGAGAACTAGTGTACAACATGGTGAAAAAACTATGAAGACATGAGGGAAGTATGTATTAAAAAATTTGCTTTAACTATTACAGTGTACTTTTGTGATGTATAGATATCATATTATATCCCATAATGTGTACAATTTTGTCAGTTAAAAATATACATGACCAATATAACCGCAAAGGTTTAGTTTCACTGGTAATCAAGATAAAAAAATAAACGACGTAAAAATGTTCCTTTCCAAATGGCAGAGAAGAAAAAGGCATAATCTGAAAACACTGGTCTGGGTGCAGAAAGTATGGGTCCTAACGCAGTGCTGCTGAGAGTTAAATCACCGAGCTAATTCTGGATAGCAGTGTGGTAAGATGAACATCAAACAATGTTTATACCCTCTCATCTTGGAAATTCTGTTAGAAATTCATCCTAAGGCATTAACCCTGGGATATGCTTACAGTTTTAAGTATATCACTGGTCTTATTGATAGCAGGCCTGAAACAACCTAAATGTGCCGTGATGGGAGAAAATGATGATAAATTGTGGCATTTTTAGAAAATAAAGTATTAACTATATAAAGATTTAAAATAATGCTTTCAAAATAAAAAAATACATGAAATTTTAACAGTCCCTTTCTCCAATGGCAAAGAAGGAAAAGGCGAAATACAAAACTAAAACATTCAAAGAAGGTTTAAAACTATAATGTCACGATAAAATGTTAAGTAAAAAAAGTAAGACACATGACCTTATAATCATACAAATAGTATTTCCAAAGAATACTTAACAACACAGTGATGATGAAAGTTTTAAGCCAAAGTAAGTGGGGATCCATGATCATTTGTGGGGGTGTTGTTTTTGTGCTGGTGCTATTAGAAACAATTTCTACGTACTTCCTCCTTGAAGCTCCCAGCAGCATCAGGCAGCAGAGACCACTACTGCTCTTCCGGTGTGCAGAGACAGCTGTGTGTCCCAGGTCGTGGGGACAGTGTGTGGGATGGCCAGATTCGGATCCTGGGGTCAGGTTCTAGAGCACACACATGCACAGGTGTAGCATTTGGGAATGATGCAGTTTACTATTAGGGTTATCTCTGGACAGTGATATTTATATTCTTCGTTCCCATTATTTTCTCAAGCGTTCAAAGCAAGCACTTCTTGAGGGGCCAGTGTTGAAAGACAGCAGCAATTTCCTTAAATTATAGATAGAGGGTGGTAGGTGGTTACTTTCGGCAGCGATTGTCTTGTCTAGGGGCAGAGGAGTGTCCGTGTGTGGGGTGCCGATCTCGGATCTGGGCACACAAGAGGGTCTCCATCGAACAGTGTCACAGTCACGTTGGCCTCTTGTAGCTCTTTCACCGCCTGAGAAAGCGGGGTCAAACTATGCTGGTGAGCGAGTTGACAACATATGACTTCAGCGATAATCATGTTTTCACTTCAAAACAATTGTGGATCCTGACATTGGAGGCAACTTTTACCTTCTATGCAATCGTTTCAAATACCTCATTGGCCTTTCTAATTTTTCACTTTTTGTCACAATGATTGTTTTCACTTGGGCAGGATAGCCCAACTACATGAGACTACTGAGACTCTTTTTTAAACCTCTGCAAATGCACAGTACCGTGAAATATATCATGCTAAGTGTTAATGGCAGCCAGCAGCTACTGACTGAATTAGCAAGGAACTGGGTTGGAGTTTCTGGGTCTCCTTTCTCTTCAAGACCCTTCCTACTGCAGGTTGCGTTCATCCACGGAGTGGGAGAGAAGATACATTAAAAAATTTTCAGGGTAGCTGGTAAATGTCTGAGGACACTGAGGTGAGAACAGTTATAAGCTGTCAGCATAGATCCTATGGAAGACAAGCAGCAAGGCTGATTTTCCAGGGGACATTTCAGGGGTGAGGAGGAGGAAAAGGAAGAGAGCAGGGGTGGGTGGGAGGCGTGGAGGAGCCTGCTGAAGCTCAGGATTAAGATAGGGTGTGGCTGGATTTGGAGAAAGCTACTCTGTGTCAGGGGATGGCGGTCCTTGAATACTAGCCTGGAAAAATGGTGTCAGGAAGAGTGCTCTTCATAATCGTGGAAAATTTAGCGTGGCTTAAACATCAAAGGGATGATATATTAACCACTTAACAGTTTACTCACAGCGTCACTTGGGCAGCACGTTTGTTTACTACTGATTATCTCAAGCAAATGTCACTCAGGCAGGTGTCATTTCAACCAGTGGAATCTTGTTTGCATGAGATACTTATATCTGCCTATTTGTTTTATATCAACTATTTTTTGCATATTTTAAAATTCAAGATGCATTCACCTTTGATGTTTGTTTCTAGTGAAATCTAATAAGTTCTGGTTATTTTCTTTTATTAATTCATGTTTATTTTATTTGTGAAAAAGAACCTATAATTTTGTGCTACAATCTATAAAAACTCTTACTGTAAGTATATTAGATATAATTTTTATTGGTACATTTTAGATATATGTAATGATAACATTCATCATAGGAGATTTGTACCTGTATATGATATATCTTCTTTCTTTTTTTCCCATCCACCACCCCTCCCTTAGACCCTTCTTCCCCTCTTTATTTACAAAAGCTTTGTTTCCATTATTTTCTTCTTTTCTCTTTTATTCTTGTCCCTTCTTTCCTATCCCTCTCCCTTGTTCCCCTTCTCATTTGAACATTTTCTTCCCATTTCCCAATAAATATTATACATTTTGGTCCTTATTTACACTTTCAGTTTCTCACACCAGGGAAGCAATGTGGTATTTAAACAAGCATGTCTGATTTATCTCACTTAAGACTGTGGTCTCAAGGTGTATCCATTTAGCTAGAAATGTCTCAAGCTCATTCTTCCTTATGGCAGAGTAGTACTCCATTGTATTTTTTTTTAAAACCCACATTTTCTTTATTCATTCATCAGTTGATGGGCATATGGGCTGTTTCCAAGAATTAGCTATTACAAACTGTGCTGCTGTAAACATGGGTATACACATATTGCTGGGGTATGATGCTTTCAATTCTTTTGGGAATATACCAAGAAGGGAAGCAGCTGGGGCAAATGGAACCACTAGATTTAGTTTTTTGAGGAATCTCCACACTGATTTCCACAGTGGTGCACCAGTCTACACTCTTACCAAGAGTGGAGAAGGCTTCCTTTTTCTGAGGAGTCCCAACAGCATTTGTCAGGCTGATTTTTCGATACCAGCCATTCTTTCTGGAGTGAGATGGAATCTCAGCATTGTTTTAATTTGCATGAATAATCAGTGTTGTTGAACATTTTTTCATATATTTATTTGCTTTTTCTACTTCTTCAGATGAGAAGTGTCTATTCATTTCAGATGCCCATTTTTGAATTGGGTCTTTAAATTTGGGGTGTCTGATTTTTTGAGTTTTTTATATATTCTACATATTAGCCCTTCATCAGAGGAACAGCTGGAAAAACTTCTTCCCACACTGTGCATTGTTTCTTCACTCTGTTGGGCATTTCTTTTGCTGTGCAAAAGCTTTCTAATAAGATGAAATCCCAGTTGCTGATTCTTCATATTTCCTTTGTGATCAAGGTTTTATTCATAAAGTCTTTGCTGACACTCATGTCTTCAAGAGTTCTTCCTAGTCTATTTTCCAGCAGATTTAGTGTTTCTGTTTTAATATTTAGGTCTTTGATCCATTTTGATTTTCGTTTGATTTTCATGAAAGATATGGGTCTACTTTTAATCTTCTGCATGTGGAAAGCCAGTTTTTCTAGCACCATTTATCATAGAGGCTATCTTTCTTTCAGTGAAGGTGTTTGGCCCCTTTGTCAAAGATAAGATGGCTGAGTGTGTTTGGAGTTGTTTCTACATCTTCTAATCTGTTCCATTGATTTTTGAGGTTTTTTTTTTTTTTTTGGTTTTTTTTTTTTGGCCAGTAAGATGCTGTTATCACAGTAGCTTTGTAGTATAATTTCAAGGCAGGGATTGTGATGACCCCTGCTTTCCATCCCCTGCCTTCGTTACCCAGGATTACTTTTGCTCTTCTAGGTCTCTTCTGGTTCCAAATGAATTTTAGGATTGTTTTCTCTGACTCTGTGAGTCATGCTATTGGTATTTTGATAGGAATTGCATTCAATCTGTATAACAATTTTGGAAGTATAGCTATTTTCATTATATTGGTTCTTCCTACCCAAGGACAAGGGATATCTTTCCATTTTCTGATATCCTCTGCAAACTCATTTTTCAGAATACTACAGTTTTCAATGTAAGGGTATTTTACTTCCTTTGTTAGATTTATTCCTAGATATTTCATTTTTTTGGCGTTATTGTGAAAGGAATTGTTTCCCTAATTTCTCTGTGAGTTTG